TTCTTTTATTTTATGCACGACCCCACAAGCTTTTAGCTTGAAAACTCATCGTGTTTAAATAAAGGCTTCCTATCCTATCCTATCCTATCCTATTCTATCACTCCCCGTGCGCGCACCATTTGTTTTCTTAAATACATATTTTTTTCTTAGGAGCCACTGCAGAGAAGAAACTGCCTTGCAAAATGGTGTTGTAGGAATTTCCAACTAAAAAGGAATTTCCATGTTTTTCAACTAACACGATTCTGGATTATTTTGTTTGGTTCTCTTCGCATATTCCCTTGAAAACCGAAACAGCTTTAGTTGCGCCCGCCCCAGAAGTCTGTTTTGATGGTCTGTTCCTCAACTTTATTTTGCATTGCTTTACAGGCGGGATCTCCTCGAGCGCCGCGGAGTCCCAAAGCGCAAAGAATGGAGGACTCTGGTTCTCCTTTGGACTTTGGAAGGGCCCCAGTATCTCCGTCCACTGTTGAGCCCGGTCTGAATTCGGAACCTCCTCCGCTTAGTGGAGTGGATGGCAACATTAAACAAGCCTTTGGCGACCGCGCAACCAGTAGGAACCTAAGAGATGATCTGCTATTGGCTGCTGATAATGTCACTAGTGCCATGTCTTCGCTTGTCAGAGAGCTTAACTCGGGTACGTGTTTATAAGTTTTTCGGTGTTCAAAATTTCAGCTGATGTTTTTGGGTTTCGATGCTGATGAACCTAAAGCAGTTTAATTCAAGAGGATGCTGTGCTTTCCAAGCGTTTTAGCGTTGTCCTCACCTTATGCCATCAAATCCGCAGGGTAGCGAACTTGTCTCTAACAGGCCTTAGCGTTAATTGCTTTGTAATTGCTTTGTTTTAACAGAAGATGAAGATGAAATCCCCACTTTTCCAAACGGCAACACTGATGATACAGACTTAGAGGCTCTTGAACAACAAGTGAACCAGATAAGAGAGTCGCTGGAGTCCCATGAGGAGAGAGCCAACTCCAATCTGACTAATGGCGACATCATCATGACAGAACCGTCGGAAAAGGTAATTCTTCACGGAGCTAGTAGAAGTGGGAAGAGCCCGAAGGGTCGCCGAGCAGGGTCCGACTTGGATACGGACACGGACGAAGACGACTCGAACGCTCGCCGAGGAGATTACAAGAACTCGTCGCGTGCTCAGACGACGGATGACGAGAGTTACATTCAAACCGACGACGACACTGTACGAACAGACGACGAAGATATGGAGTGGCAGGAGTCGATCAAGCGATGGGTCAATCGTTAGATGGTCGCGAAAAATCGATAGACAGTCGTATATTTTAGATTATCGTGAACTTATTTTTGTACTTCTCATATATACTATGCCCGCAGAATTGTCAATGTAGGCATTTGTGAAAGGCTGGTCCGTTAGTTCCTTAACATAGTGCAGTCTTAGACGACTCGCACCGATGCAAAAGGATGGCATTATGTCGTCAAAAGAGTCGTTTATATATTTTATATTTGGAAGACACGGGCTTTGCCTCAGGAACAAGCCTTACCTAGGCTCGCCTGCCGTTTCTGTGGGAGTGATACACGAGATTCTCATGTGAACGGCCGCCGCTTAGGTTATTCAAGGAGAACTGAGGAAAACATTTGTAGGCTCCCGTCAGGCGGGGTTTTGGATGTAAGATTATTTTTTTACAAACTCACGCAACTAACAATGAAAAGCTTCAACCGTTTTCACGCGGTAAATAGTTTTTCTTTAATAGTCTTGACAACTTTTTGACATATTTTTGTTGGTTTAGCCTTCGCTTGACCAATCAGAAACAAAGTTAAAAATAGCTCCATGTCGCTCATTCCTATCTGAGGTTGTTTCTTTTGTAACAGACAAAAAGACGTAAAAGGTTGCCAAATTTAATTAAAGAGAACTTGAACTGCTTAACGAAGAGGTGCTAAGCATTGTTAAGTATTTTATTTTTATTTGTGAATTACCCTGGTATAGTATAGCTTCTGAGACATCTCGACTCACGTGACCTAAAGCCTTCACCCCACTGCAGGGGGAAGGGGGATGGGCCGCTTCTTGCGAAATCACTCAGAAGCAATTGTTTGTTCTTGTTCGTTGGACCATGATGAATACCGTTCAGGTAACGGATAATCGATTGCTTTGGGCCTTGGTGATTGTGATCAAAGTACAGTTGTAACCAATGTCATAAGTGAAAATCTTCCGAATAAAGTTTAGATCAGTTTTCTTTAAATTTGTTCATGACGCTGATAA